TGTTTTGAAAATCTTAGAAAATGAACGTGAAGATGATTCCGAGAAGAGATTATATCATCACGTTCACATGACTAGTGATAACCATTCATTAGGCTCCCTGAATAAAGCCTATTCACTGACTCGCAAATTCACATGACACTGTCCGAACGTGCTCGAATGATAGCCTTAAGATCATCTAATGCCCAATAGCTAAGCTTTCTCCGTGTGCCGTCCTCACTGACTTGCTACTCTGCATGCTCCAGAATAATTCTCATTGACACCTTCATTCAAGATCGACTGTCGCTTCAGTATTGCTGCAGTATCCTTTTATGGTAACAAACGGTTACCCTCTTTTTTCTTCGTCTTCTCATTGCTGCTGTTCTTCGGATCCAACATGCTACGATTCTACAAAGTCATGCGCCGTCAACGGCAGTATTTCATCCAAACTGATAACGTCGCGCTTGAATAAGTTAAAAGCATCTGATTTATCAGATCGCGATAAAAATCAAACCGTTATGGGTCAGTGACTGGGAACATCGACTTCAGAAGCGGACGCATTTGGTGGGCTGCTCACGTGCAGCCATTGAGAGTAGTAGTAATTGTAAGTAGTGTATGAATAGTGAAAGAACGAGTTACCGGTGAGCGGCTCGTTGGCCACGACGCATTGATTCCAGAGGAAAGCGGAGACTATGACCATGGTTCGCTATGACCGAATGGCTGCAACAGTGGCAAGACAGACGATGTGTCTCAACATGGTGACCAGCGTACGTACATTCTGCGCATGGGTTTATGCAGACGGCACCCGAATCGCGTCTCTGTACTGATGGCACATCATAGCCAACAGTGCCAGCGGTAGACTAAGGAACAGGGGCATTGGACAATAGAAGAAGTCGCCTGGTCCGACGAATCACGTTTTCTGATCAATCACGAAATAGCGTTAAACGAGGTCTTCTCATCATGCCAGTTATGGGGTCAGGGAAAAACGGGTATAAAATTTAAAAAAAAAAAAAAGTTCAAGCATTTTTGTAGTCGAGAAAGTTTGACATGATAGGCATTTTGTAAGCTCGCTAATGTTTGCTAAGTAATTTTATTTCCTTTATTTTTGGTCCAGGCTGTTCTTGTGGTTAAAGCGTTAAATTACCCACTTCTATGATTAGAAAACTGTTTATTAAGTGTAGTCTGAAATTTCAGATTGAAAAGCGGTGACAATTTTTTATTCACTATAATTTTGAGTTGATGTCCCATAATGACTTTACTGAGTTGACACTTTTTAGTCTTTATCTATTGCAGTTGTAACAGTCCGTATCTATGCGGATGATACTTATATTTATTAATTTTCCTTAACTGCTCAAAAATACTACAATCAAACTTCAAGCTGCAATAACTAAAAAGGAATTATAGTGCCTCAAAATGAAGAATCAAGTCTAATACCAGCAGAAATGTGTTTCGTCATCTTTTGGATATACCAATTCAGTCAGAGGATTGACTCCGACATTATTATTTTCTATCGTACAGTTTCTTAATGTAACAGTATCAAATAGTTGGATTCAGTCTGGATTCCATATTTCATTCTAAGGAACACATAATAACCTAGAGAAAGATAACGCTGCTCTTACCGTAAGACGCCAGGCAATTTCAGTTCGTAAATTTATCCATTGAAACTTACAAACTTTATTAAAACTAGTTCTCCACAACTCTAAGGAGGAGTGCTGGCCCTTCAAAAAGGTCCCCGCTGCAGACTTTGTTCTGCCCCAGTTTTGCGCGCGCACTAGCTATTCTGGCAGCAGATGATATCCCTTTGTGTTTCCCCTGAGTTACACTTCCTTCAGATCCGTCTGCAGACCTCGCTTAAAGTAACTGTAGAGTACCATATAAAAATTTCAAAAACAGTTCAATTTCTGGATTTTTAAAAAATTCAATAATAATTTTGGGCATTTGTCACAAGATAGAAAGCATGATTTTAGGCCATCAAAAATGAAATGAATTTTAACAAACTAAGGAACTTGTGCTGTTATAATACGTTTTTGTAATCTGTTTCCACAAATTCACAAAACTCTTTAAGTTTCGTTACTCTTATTGCATATATGTGAATATATTTATAAAATTTTATGACGATAACTATGTCCAGCGGTAGAGTTTATTGAAATGTTTTTATTGAATTATGTACAATATGGGCTGAACAACCAATTCCTAAAATAAGTTTATCTAAATCATTTTGAGCTTTTCTGAACGCATTTTCATTTCCTTTTCGTTTTACACCCCCAAAATTATTGTTAGTGTTATCGGTAGTATAACAAACTAACGTTTCTTCAAGCTTGTATTTTTTTCAAGAGCTGCAAAAGGTACTGAGTCAAAATCTGAGCAGTTTTACCTGAGACTTCATCGAAATTTGAAAGCTTAACTTGAATTCCCTCCTGCAAGTTGAAATATCTTACAACAACTGGAACACGTTTTACTTCAGTTCTGTTTGAGCTATCCATCGTTACTGTTACATAATTAATATTTTCCAATGAACGCAATATATTATCAAATATAAATGGCGAAATAACTTTAACAATAATTGCATAGGTTTTTGTTCTAGTAGATGAAAATTTTTGGTCATATAACTTTTTTAACCAATTTAGATGCGTAGTCTGATGTTTTGAAACCGATTTCGCGTCTAGCAGTGTGGTATGAAAATGTAGCTTCTTTAGCAGCACACTCCAGATCACTGTTATTGCTATTACTATCTTTGGCTTTATAAAAAAAAATTAATCTCTTATGTGAAGCAGTAGCATTAACAGCAATAATCCTATGTTTAGCTGTTTTCACATGGTCTTCAATATCACTATTTCCTTTACGTGCAACAGAAAATCCGCCCCCAGTGTGCACTACCCACCCGTTCCTTGTAGTCCTTCCATTCTTGTGGGCTTTGGATTTCCTGTGGACAACATTTCAACCCCTTGCGAGCCCATTGCCTAAAACAAAAAAAACAAAACACCCAAAAAAAAAAAAGAAGACAAAGCCTCAGAATAATGCTCACCCGGTGTCGTGCGTTCCTTATAACGTAAAAATGCGTTTTACATGCCCCTGTGTGTTGCCCACTGCGGAAGGAAACAGATTGTGGGCTCCTGGGCGAGCTTCCCGCAAATCGACGTGTGGGTCTCGGGCGTGGAGCTTGGTTCACCCGTCGCCTCTCGCCATAGAGGTCTCCACCAAAACCCCCCCCCCACCCATTAAAAAACACCCTTCGGTCAACGCTAAAAAACCAGGACGTATGGTAAACCTACTCTTACGACTTTATATTCAATTAACTAAAAGAAAATCTAATATCGCTTCGGAGATTAAAAAGCTGTTGACTTGTGTTTTTAAACAATGTTTATAATTATTTTATTTGCAACTACCAGTGTTCAGCGACTTTACTACTCTGCCGTTGGTGGGCGTCGTCGTGCCATTGAGTCAAATAGATTTTGAATCTGTATCTGAGGATTAGCATTCCGTATTACTTCTAACCAAGGCAAAGTTGATTCTTGTTAGCTGTGGTGCAAATGTCACAGGCGAGTTGCTTGTGCATGAAATCTTAGACATGCTCAAATGGCAGCACATCTAATGAATGGGCAGGCCAAGAAAAATCAGTCTTTGGCACGTTGAGAAGTTTTAAACATTTGTTATGTGGACGAATATTGTTCTGTTGAAACACATCTACGGAAAGGCGTTGAATTCCATTTTTTTGAGTAATTTTTCAGTGCATTTTGATCAACGCCGGCGTTAAGCTATTTGCTGCTGGTTGCAAATTCTGCATCTCTCAGATTTTGCCACCAATTCCTAAATTTTAATAATTTCGCCGTCCCTAAATTCTATTGCCCGGTGGGGCCGCAGTGGTTGCAGTGGCTCTGGTTCCAGACCTGGTTTTGACCAATTTTTATTCGACCTGAATCTGCTTTTAAGTCACTGTAGAAATTTGTAAAGGATTTTCTGAAAATTAACTAATGCTTAATCGGTAAATTTCAGTATTTAATTTTGCTTTAAATCCTTAAATGCTATATTACTAAGCTTATCCAAATGATCGACACATTAATTATAATTTTATTCCTATCGCATATAAAGCATTTCTGCTTGGATTTTCATCAATACAAAATTTTAAGAAATTGCAAAACGAAATGAAATTAGTCGAAAAGTGTAAAATAAAATAAACAAACTTAGAATAATTAATTATATATTAATTTAATATATTTTACCACAAAACTGTGTTACGACTGATTTGAAGAGTCTTTTGAAGTCATGTTATCAAGCAGCATGATGACACATCCCAATTTTTCGTATTTCAACGTTGGTAGCTATGTTAAGATTTCTAACTAAGTCACAGATACAACTTTAGGGAAATATAAGGAATGACCGCTAGAGAAAATAAGGCTACATAATGAAAAATGAAAACAGTTAAATTAGAGTTAAAATAATTAGTATCTAAGATAGAGAAGATTCGGATTCCAGAGCAATAAACTGAATGATATTGTCAAAATAGTAAGACAATTTTAGGTCACACAAAATTCCTTATTAAATAATTTCGGCAACAATAATAATAACCTAAATGATTAACAAACGGAATAGTGCCTGATCAGGAGGCAAAAGTGGCTCACCTATTAAGTGTTTCCATAATAAAGTGACCACAATTCTGGCCTTAGTAGTGGACAAGCCGAAGTCGGCTGAGGGCCCGCCATTGGTTAAAAAAAAAACAATAAAAATAATGTACTTACAATTTATGAGATTTAGTATGATACTTGTATTTCAAATACAAAAATAACCGCTCATAAATATATTTTCTGTGCATATTGCGAGATACAAAGGCATAAAAAATACGCATTTGAATATTTTATTTCGCAAAATTGCTATTCTTACGAATTCCGAGAAAAGTCTCGTCTTCTTTCCAGAACGATTTATCATCTCGGAAGTTATAGGGAAGTTAGGTAATAAATTCCTTATTATATTTTGTTTTCCCCAATAATCCGGTTTGGGCTGTTGCAGCCGTTGAGTTGTAACTTTCATGTACTCGTACTTTGTTTACACACAAAGTTTGGTGTAATGTCCGCGTGTGAGCTATATAATAACTCTTCGAAAAATCTCAAGTGGAATCTCAAGCGATCTTTTGAACTCTAGTTATCGTTGTAAAAACTGACCTTCAGCTTGATCAAAACTTATCGAAAAGATCTTCCAACTGCGCTTCAAAAAAATCAACGCTAGCTTACTCAGAAGACGTGATTTTAAATTTCCGGTATGAATATTTTGCTCGTGACTGCTTTAATCGTAAGTGTATTTTATTGTATTGTGTTGTGTGTATTATTTAATACTTTTTGATTTAATTAAGAACTAAAGGAAGTAACTAAAATATTATTCAGCAGAACTTCTTTTATTTAAGTTGAAATGTGAAATAACTTTGACTTGAAGTCGAGAAATGGAGAATTGTGCATTTGAGAACTACTGGTTGATATCATCAGCGTAACATACGACTTGAGCTATTATAATTTAAAGGTAGGAAAGATGTAGGCATAAATTAAGTACACAATAATACCAAGTAAAAAATCGACCAAATTTTTTTAAAATTTAATTTGAAACATGGAATATTATTCTTCCATTACCATGCTTTTTAATTAGTATGTTGCAGGTACTGAAATGAAAAAAAAATCATACAGAGCTATTTTTTATTGTGTTTGAAGAAGTAACTCCTGATTTTATCATCTACAAATCTTGCGTCCTCAAGTGCTTTAATTTTATACGATTTTTGCTTTCTGATATGCATATTCTTCCGTTTGTGAGGCAGTATTAGAATAAAATTCGAATAAAAATTTATTTCTTATAATATTCGCAAGTTGTTATTAACAACTTATGTGCAAAGGCGTTGTAGCAGAGTTTATTGGTGCATCTTAAAAATTACGATATATATACAACAAAAATTTCACTGTACAGATGGTATTTAGACAATTTTAGAACGATTTTGAAGCCTTTTAATTAGTATTTAAAATGCAAACAACACTTTTTTAAGCGTTCAATCTGATAGCATTTATTCTGAACTATAAGTCTGCATCGCGATTTCCATGATAGAAGGGTTTTCCGCAAAATTTCCAGGTTTATTGATTTCCATTCCTCTTCCACGACTTTCCGGAGTCCATCAGTCGTGGTGATTTGCGTTTAGAAAGAGTTCTTTTCAAGAGAGTCCGATGCTGAAATGTCAGGGGACTTCACAGGAGTACTTGGATAGGGTATAATGCAATACTTGTTTGAGTCTTCATTTCTCCAAGGAACGCAGTGCTAATTTTTGAAGTGTGACTTGTTGCTTTGTCGTGATGAAGTAGAACTATATCAAGTTAACTTTAACATTTTTTACAATCTTCTTATTTCTAATTTCCCATTGTGAGAGAATACTTCGACAATCATAAGTCCTCTACCAAAGCTTTTTTTTGGGTTTTCTGAAGCAGGGTTGTACATTTTTTTCATCTTTTTGATAGTAAATAGACCTCTTTTTGTTTCAGTCACTTTACGTAAACCAATGCTTTAACAAAGGTCACGAAGTATTTTCATTTATATCCTGCTAGATAGTTTGCAGTCATGTGAGTCACATGCCGTGGCAAAAGCTGGTGAAAATTATGTTTTTTAGCTTTTTAAAGTTGTAAATCGTAGTTTATTATTTTATTTATTTTTGCTACATATGTATTTAAAGACTTTGCAATTGTTGCGTTGGCGAATTTTCTCTTGTTACCAACGATTTCACTTAATAAACATAAAAACAGTACGTACCTTTTTCGGGTATTCGTTTTTATTTTTTATTTCTATATAGAAGTAATGACTGAAGGCTTTTCTCTTTCTGATCAATAAAATATTGCTTATTTTGTACTTCAAAATTTAATACCATGCATTTCACAAGGTTTTAGAATTATGGAGTAGGAATACTTTTGGAAAGCTCAAAAACATATCCTTCAATCCACAGCTTGTTTACATGCGACATTTTGAAAGAAGAATAACTTTAACATTAGCAGACGATATTTCTTATTTCAAATAATAAGATACTGCTAGAAAATCTTTATCGAAATCATTCTAAAAATGTGTAAACACCCACTGTAATTGATATAATGAGGATTTATATTGAATTTGCGTTCGATCCACTTTCTCTTAAATATTAATCCTTTACTATGGCAACTTCTAAAAGTAGGATAGCTCCCATTCTTTATTGAAATTAGTAACTTTCCTACTTATCATTAATTAATTGAAATCTTGCTGTAATACCTTAACTGCTGTGAATAGGATCACGTGATTATATTCTTCAAATCAAAATTTGAAAATGTCATTTTTTGCTCTAAAATTAAATTAGATAAAAGTTTCATAAATTATGGATTGAATTAGGATTCAAATTATCTAAGGATTTAATATGAGAGAAATAATTTATAGATATCCTTCCAGGTTTTCAAATATTTCACGAAGAATTTTAGAGTTTAAGACTCTTTTTTTAATTCCAAAAACATTAACATATTCTTTAAAATTATTTTAAAATGCAATTTGCAAATAATCAGTTTGCTAATTTGACTTTCAAAATTTTCTGGATCTTAATGGTTTTAATGTTTTAGCATATTGTACTTAAAAATGGAAAACCTTGAAGAAGAAGATTTTAATTTTTACTTGCTTTAGATGAAAATTTCAATTTTTGCTGGCATCACATTTGCGCTGTCAAATGTAGTATAGTGAACAGCAAATGGCTGATAAAATTTTCTCTTTATGAGAGTCGACTGTAGATTCTAATATAATCTTTATGGCTAAACATTGATTTCGCCCTGTGGATCGGGGCTTCACTCTTAGATCTAATCTAATCCGTAAGTTTAAAATATACTCAACTTGCTCCACGAGATAAATATTCATGCATAGTACTTATTAAACTGTCAAGATTAGATGGAGCATAATATTGTACACATCATTTCCTGAATAATTTTATTCGTTTAACCATAAAAGCTCTTTTAAATGTCTTTAAAATTATTTTGTAATTTTATAATGTTATAAGCAAGTAATGTTTGAATTTCTTAGCGTAGTATGTTAGAGTTAGTACTGTGTTTAGATTTCGTAACACCTTTTAGTCACAGACTACTGAGATGTGATCTTATGCTTGAGTTATATTTTTCCAGATACTACGATAACAAGCTATTTGTACAGTCGTTCTTCCTGCGTTTAGAGGATAATATCGGTATTTTAAAACACCAATGTAATTGTAATTTAAGTATTTCACAAAATAGCTCAATAACTTTATTTTATAAATTGGATTAACAGTTGTCTTTTATTCTTTGTCATTGATAGCTTCTTCAGCAGAATGTTTCATTGAAAAATTGTTTATAAGATGGAAAAAAGGCGGAAGACTCGTGTATAATAGGGTTTTTTTAAGTCCAGCATCATATGCAATTTTTAAAACCTGGTAAAAAAGTTCGCCTTTAATTACAGCAGGGTTTCATAACCTAGTTTGACTCATTGTCTCTTTTTCGTGTTTTACTTTGTTCATTGCCCTGTACTCTTGCAGCAATATGTAAGATGAATTCTAAATGTAAACTCTAAACACTAACTGAAAGCGCATAAAAACTTTTGCAAATTTATTATATTTGTACCGCCTCAAATTATGAATAAAACTCCCTCAGCAATAAGGAAACAGTATGGTAACGGTTAAAGATATCTCAAAATAGCTATAGTAGCGAACTTACAAAACATGCACAGTCAACATCATACTGAAAGAACATGCTCTAAGGCTCTCCGGATATCACTTATAAGTACGAATTTGTGATTATGATTTTTGAATAGACGATTGATAATTTTAAATTTCGACTCCTTGGAATAAAGAAATGAAACTACACTTAGCTTGAATTAATTTATGAGACGAATCTTCTGACATGCTTTGATTCTTGTGAAGATATGTACCTGTATTATTTATGCAATGAAATGAATGTTTAAATCAGAATTCAGAATCATCATCTGTGTTTCAAATGCGCACATTATTTAGATTGGTTTATGCATTTTCATCATACGTTATCACGAAAATTAAAGTTATATGTCTTGGTTATTTTAAACTTGAGAAATAGATATATAAAAAGCGCACCCAATTTCCAATTATAAGCACGTGCATAAAACAGTTTGTCAAGAACATAACCATAGACATAGAGGATGTATCAGTACAGAGCAGTCTGAGCCATTCAAACCCTGCCCCAAATTTAAATGATTCCTTCTCCAACTATAAAGCGGATACATACCAATCGTTGCCGACAGCAACATCTAGGGCTCGAAAATAAAAAAAACTATATTTAATGCTGCATTGCTCGAAATATTTCTCAATCTGATATAGGTCTCATAAGAAAAATGCTGTGCTATGCAACTTATTTTATAAAGATGAAACATTTAAGTTTTCATCGTTTTACATGTGATTTGTTTGGCAATATTGCTTATGTGTTCTATCATGCTACAGTTTGCGTTTGATTAAATGCATCTTATACTTACTATGATGCTGGCTGTCTGTCCTCACTAGTACTTTAACGTCCTACAGATTATTTATTTGAATTTTTATGTCATTTCACAAAAAGTTCACCTCAATGTCAATCAACTTACTTCATGAACTGCGTTTGTTTCTGTGTTTTTGAATGTATAAAATATATAACTAAATAACTTATTTATTTACGAAACCGTATTGTTTATATTTATGTTTACAACATTTTGTCTTGATTTTAATACAGCTTTATTTTATCCCAGAAGGGCTATTAATTTCGTTTTGGCATTTTGCGTCGAAAACTTGGTAAAAATCACTTTTCAGATTGTTGCCACCAAATATTATCTCCCTGTGTTAAAGAAATTAAATAATAAAGGATCTTCATAAATGTATATATGCTTCTCGCATTGTGATAAAACAACGGTACCTAGAGCCATCCAATTTTGAATAACGTACATCTATCTCCACCCGAATATGGGCATCTGGAAGCCCAAATTTGGAATTTGTTTTATTATCTATTTCATATTTGTAAAAGCATTATGGTTTTTTTGATAAGAACCAGGGATTTCAAAGCGAACAATGGCAACATTGTACGAAAAAAAAAAATTATCTCCAGCGCGCGAACTGTGTATGGGAGATTCTAAAGATATGTTCTTTTAAAATTATTTTGCGATATTGCTGTTGAATTGAATTTTATGGTTTATGTGCAAAGAACACGATATTTTATGAACAAAAATAAAACACTGAATCTGAAAGCTTTCAATTTTTTTAAAATTTATTTTCTGAAATAAATGTTTGCATTGGTAGGCTTTGTGTTTACTGAACGTGTCAGCTGAGAACTGCGAAAGAAATGGAGCTAGATGTCTGGATTACACAGTACTGCAGACTCATGAGGTAAGAAAAATAAAATATGTTGATTAGAAATGATTGGATGAGTATGTTGGTTAGAAACTGATTAAAAGTACTCTGACTACCAATAAGTATTTGGACACCTGTGATAGAAAAGAAAAACTAACTTTATTCAAAATCAATAGTTGGTAGAGCCTCCACGAGAGGTAATTACAGCGTGGACTCTCCAGGGCATACTTTCCACAAGTCTTTGTATGACAGCTAGCGGTATTTTCTTCCACTCGGCTTGGAGAAGACATAGAAGTTCCTTCACCGATTTTGCACGGGTAGAGCATCCCTGAATTCGGCGATGCAACTCGTCCCAGAGATTCTCGATAGGGTTCAGGTCTGGACTCTGGACAGGCCAGTCCATTCGATGAACTCCGTTGGCATCGTACCAAGCCTTGGTTAACGTCCAAACATGACAACTGGCATTGTTGTCCTAAAAAAAACAGGGGTCCAACCCGTAAAACTGCCACAACGTAGGAAGCACATTGTCATCCAAAATAGTGCATTAGGCATCGGAGTTGAGCTTACCATGAATTGGGACCAAGGGTCCCAGCCCATACCAGGAGAAACATCCCCAGACCATAATTCCACCTCCGCCGAACTTGACTGTTGTCACAATGCATTCTGGCAGGAGACGTTCTCCAGGTAGACGCCAGACCCAGACCCTGCCATCCGAACGGTAAAGGGTGAACCTTGATTCGTCACTCCAAAGAACCCGTTTCCACTGATCTACGGTCCAATTTCGATGTGCTTTGCACCACATTAACCGAGCAGCGCGGTTGGACTTTGTGATCAAAGGCTTATGGGCAGCAGCACGACCATGAAACCCAAGCAGGTATGCTTCCTTACGGATGGTATTCTTTCAAATAATACTCCCGGATGCCTGTTGAAACTCCTCGCGGATGAGGGCCATCGGTTGGGTGCGGTTCTTCCGAATTTCTCTGGACAGCACTCGTCGGTCTCTATCTCCCAGTTTCGTTGGTCTGCCGACTCGGGGCACATTCCGACAATCACCTCTCACATTCCACCTCTTAATCACATAGGCCACTGTCTATTTTGGGTACTTCAGATGGCTAGAGATATGTCCCTTAAGGATCGGCCACATTTGTGATACCCGATAATTATACCTTTCTAGAAATCAGAGAGCTCCGAACTGCGAGGCATCTTGCATGCGACTAAAGCCGATGCTGTTTTCTACACGATATATACCGGCGGATCCGTGACGTACCTTAGGACCGCAGATATCGTCATTTGCATAGGTGTGCAAATACTTATTGGTAGTCAGTGTATTATGTTTAAAGATGATTTCTTATGAAAAAATAGTTTAAATCCGAAGATTTAAATAATTTTGATTGTTTTATTCTATAAAAATATTTATCACGATGCTAACGTTGGTGCTACTTTGGTAGACGATTGCACGGATTTTTAGCGATTTACGTTGGCGCAATTGTTGGCGCGATTTCTACGATCGTCAGCCATCTTGATAAACGTTGTTTTTACGCATAGTAAAGTATTCGAAACTTAAAAAAAAATAAATGTCGTTAAAAGTAATGGATTAATTTTTTGCTGAAAATGTTTTTTAAGATGGCAGGCAAGTGTAAATAAATACATTTACTATGAGTATAAAGTACTAAAGTAAGGCTTTTATTACTTTCATATGGCAAAAAAGAGAATAAAAACACCGTTATAAAAACATTGTGCTAACGTTTAATTAGATAAAAATATTACTGAAATTGAATATCGAATTAAAAATCGTCCTACCAACATTTAAAAGAATTAGAATATTATTAAATTCAAATACGTTAAAATACGTTATATAAAATATAATTAACATTAAAACATATGTGACATAATTATCTCAGCAATTTTTGAAAATAGTGTATTAATTTTTTTTAACAAAATTGAAGTATACAATTATAAAACAAAAGAAAAATATGTACTTACATTTTTTTGAGTAACTTAATCTCTTGTTTATTGATAAGTACCACAAAAAATCGAAAACATAATTGAATCAGCTCTTTTAACCATCTTCATCTGTTAGCTAGGTTTCCTCCAAAAATTTAAAATAAAATTCCTCTGACGCTATTAAAAATTTATAAATAAATCTTTGATTAGGAAAGACAGGTTGGCCAAAATAAGGTCTCAAAGGGCAATTTTTTTATTCCAATACCAATAATTCTTGGTAATTACCAATAACAACATTTATCTTCGAAACAGAGATATCCATTCCATTTGAAATCTGACGAATTCGAAGAGATGAATAATAAAATTTTAAAAATGGCGCGGTAATGCACAAATCTTCAGTAACCAATCAAGGAGCTGATTACATCACGCATAGAATTAAAAATTATTTAAATAATCATTCATAATAAAATCATTTTAAAACAAATGCAAAATTAAATTTTATTTTAAATTTAACAGCCATAATAATGTTTAAAACATTAGATTAAATTTATAGATATTAAAAACCAATTACTTTTTAAGTAAGGTGACGTCATTGATTACATCATCCACAACATAAAATATTATAAACAACAAAATTTTTATTTCAAATAAAAATGTAAAATTAAATTGATTTTAATTTAGAAGCCATAAATAATATTTAAAACACGGAAGTTATGCATAAAAACGCATTATTTTTTTAATAAAAATGAACAACAAAGTATCCGTTACCATAAATAACTTATCCAGCTTTGGGTTTACCATAAGTTGTATTACTCGCCGAAAGAAAAATCGCCAAAAAATCGCCAAAATCCGTGCAACCGTCTACCAAAGTAGCACCCTAACGTTTCATAATTTTAACTGATTTTAAAATTCATTGATATTTTACACGAATTATTAATCTAATAATAAGTCTTAATATAAGAAAAAAGCGGCTTAAGTATTTAACCAGTAGATGTTCGTAGTCACAAATTTTATATGCAGCAGTTAAATTAATCAGTTCTATTTAAAAAGGAAGAGATGACAGTCTGAATAAATGCCCAAACGGACAAATATAGCTAAAATATTACGTCATCTTTTCGGTGGGCAAAGAAGCAATTGAAGGCAAACTTTATGCTCAGATATACACTGGTTATCATAAATTAAGAAATAATCACAAAAATAGCGATAACTCCCTTAAAAATACGCCAAACCGTGTAAAATTTGAATATGTTGCCAAGTAAGACTAGCTGAGTAAAACTGCAATATGCAAATTAATGTCACTGCACTCGGAATACGTCTCGGAATGCGAGGAGCATAAAAGTCCATGTTTGAGAGCAAGCCCACATATTTCACTGTGATAGTGACATCAGAAATCTGAGATAGCCAATTCGTTACAAAGACCTCCAGGCATCATTTGCCTGCAGAACTACGATGGAGAGCCATTGGAAGACTTGAGGCAGCACAAAGTCAAACAGAGGTGGCCAGATGGCTAAATGTGAAAGTCGTTCTGTGGTTCATAGACTTTGGAGGTAATTTCAAACCACAGATTCGGTATCAGGAGGTTCAGACAAGGGCGGCCAACTGCTACGACGAGCGTCGATGACCGATATTTAACATTATGTGCACGTAGGAATAGAACCGTTAATCCGATTCTTCTTAGAGTCTCCCTTCATGCAGCCACCGGAAGTTTGGTGTCAACGTCAACTGTGCGTAGAAGGCTTCACGAAGGTGGTTTGTATGCGAGGCGACCAGCCATTTGCGTGCCTTTCACGTCACGCCATAGGAGGGACCGTTTGCAGTGGGCAAGACAACATGTCCGCTGGACACCTGATTTATGGAGGGCTGTTCTCTTTACGGATGAGTCCAGGTTTAGTCGAGAAAGCGATAGCAAGCGTTATTTGATATGGAGAGAATCTGCAACCCGTTATCATCCGTCAAACATCCGTGAAAGAGATGCATACGGAAGAGGCAGTGTCTGTGTTTGGGGTGGCATCTCTTTGGCTGGACGCACAGACCTCCATGTTTTTCCAAGGGTAACCGTGAATGTTGAAGTTTGCAGAGATGACATCCTTGATGTTTATGTGCGCCCATATGCCGGGGCTATATGGAATGCTTTCCTGTTGCAGGACGACAACGCAAGACCACACAGGGCTCGCATCGTAGGTGATTATCTTCAACAGGAAACGGTGCTACTTTGGTAGACGGTTGCACGGATTTTTGGCGATTTACGTTGGCGCAATTGTTGGCGCGGTTTTTACAATCGTCAGCCATCTTGAAAAACGCTGTTTTTACGCATAGTAAAATATTCGAAACTTAAAAATAAATAAATAAATAAATAAATGAATATCGTTAAAAGTAATGGATTAATTTTTTGTTGAAAATGTTAAGATGGCAGGCAAGTGTAAATAAATACATTTACTATAAGTATAAAATACTAAAGTAAGGTTATGATTACTTTCATACAGCAAAGAAGAGAATAAAAGCACCGCTATAAAAACATTGTGCCAACGTTTAATTAGATTAAAATATTACTTAAATTGAATATCGAATTAAAAACCTTATACCAACATTTAAAAGAATTAAAATATTACTAAATTCAAATACTTTAAAATACGTTATATAGAATATAATTAACATTAAAACATATGTGACAATAATTATCTCAGCAATTTTTGAAAATAGTGTATTAATTTTTTTTAACAAAAATTGAAGTATACAATTATGAAGTAAAAGAAAAATATGTATTTACACTTTTTTGAGTCATTTAACCTGTTGTTTATTGATAAGTACCACAAAAAAAATCGGAATCATAATTTAGATATCAATGAAAAAAATTTGAAAAATGTAATATCAAAGGCAGGAATAAAAAAATGAAAAAAAATTATAAATAGATAAAGCAATTTAGAGCCAAATTAATGGATCAAAAAATTAAAAATAACAAAAAAATTTGAAAAAAAAAAAAAAAAAAAAAAAAAAAAAGCCTCTCCAATAATAGGTATTGTTTTTAAGATTTCGAAGATCCTTTAACCGCCCCTCCCTGAAGTACAGAGGACAATTTTTTTATTCCGATACCA